TTCGTTTTGGTGTTGAAACTACCTATTTGGGAAGTAGAGTACGCTAGTCCGTAAGTGGGTATATTAAATGCGATGGCACGTGATGTCGCGTCTCGCCTGGTGGGAATTAATGTCGTTTGTTCACCTCCAATTTAGCAATATGCATCCCAATGACAACCACGATGGAGCGTCGACATGGCTGGCCCAATGTCGGACTCAACTCCCCCCAGTCTCGTATCGAAAAGAAAAAGAAACGATGAGGTTGACGGAATAGACGAGCCTGAATCAAACACACCCGAATTTAGCAACACGTCCACGGAGCACAACCCCCCTTTGCAAGAAGGTCCCAATATCAAAAGGAAACGTGGAAGACCGCGAAAGACAACTAATGTGGATGCGACGCACGAACCGGAGACCGAGCCTAGTAAGACAGCGATTAACCAGGGCGACAGTCTAGACTCGAAACGCGACCCGATACCCGGCAAATCCGAACAGGGAAAGCCCAAATCCAAGTCTACCAAAACAATAAGATCCCAAAAAGTGACCAAGAGCCCATCCCCCAAGCGCACACCCTCCGGACCGTGGCCGGAGGCCTTCAAAAGTTTAGCCCAGACCCACCGCGCCCTGAATCTGGTGTATACATTCTGCTGCACGCGCAAACACTTCGCCACGACGTTCGAGAATATCCGGAAAGCGGTGCAGGCACAACTGGGCCGTGATCGCGAGCTGACTGTCGAGGATATTGCACGGGTGAGGGTTCTGGTGCCTCGGGCGGTGAAACTCGAGTATGTGGATGAGGCCAAGTTGGAGGTTATGACGGTGGGGGAGAAGGAGACGGCGAGGAACCAGTCTTATGGCCTCTCGCATCCAGAATGCGATGTGGCTGATTCTGGTGTGGATGTCCAGACGAAAGAGGTGTTGCTGTTCGAGTTCCTGGACGGAGATCTGAGGCGCGAGGTGCGACATCCGAAGAACGGGGAGCCTACGAAACCCGTGMGGAAGATGAAGGATGAGGATCTGAAGATGCCCGTGTACAGTCAAAAGCAGATGCTTGCTTTGATTGAGAAACGGAATAAGAAGTTCTCTGATGCCATTGATGCATTCCTGGTGCAGTGCGAGGATGACGGCACCGATCCAGTTGAGAGGCTGGAAAAGGAGAAGGACGCATGGATTCCGAGTCCTCCTGACTCTGGGGATGACAGCTTAGAAATGACGAAATCCCTCTCTGTGCCGCCTCGCGAGATCCCCAAAGAGCGCAAATCCATGGCAGAAATCGTTGAAGAAATTCGCGCAATGGATTGGTACTTCGCTCAGATCGTACCCGAAGGCCATAGAGTGTTTGAAGCCCAGTCTCCTGTCTACGGAGATTTGACTTTTCAACTCTCGCAGGACCTCGTTAACGCTTTGTACAACACAAAGGGCATAACACAGTTCTATTCGCACCAGGCAGAAGCGATCAACTCCCTATACGCCGGCCAAGATGTCATTGTATCTACATCTACAAGCTCTGGCAAATCATTGATCTACCAGGTCCCAATGCTTCATGAGCTTGGAAGAGACCCTAACAGCCGCGGCATGTACATTTTTCCCACTAAAGCTCTCGCACAGGATCAGAAGCGTAGCATGAAGGAGCTTCTGCAGTTTATGGACGGCTTACAGGACGTCATGGTCGAAACATTCGATGGTGATACACCAATGGGGAGCCGCAACCTCATTCGCGACGAGGCCCGCATTATATTCACCAATCCGGACATGCTGCACATCACGGTACTACCGCAGGAGAGTTCTTGGCGTACCTTTCTGAAGAACCTGAAATTTGTTGTCGTTGACGAGTTGCATGTCTACAACGGTCTATTTGGATCACATGTTGCATTCATCATGCGACGGCTGCGTCGGATCTGTGCTGCGGTGGGCAACCGACATGTCCGGTTTATATCCTGTTCTGCCACAGTAGCCAACCCCGAAGAACATATGAAGGCAATATTTGGCATTGACGATGTCAGACTGATTGACTTCGATGGTTCACCGTCAGGCCGCAAGGAGTTCTTATGCTGGAACACCCCTTACAAAGACCCCAATGACCCTACATCAGGACGCGGAGACAGCGTTGCTGAAACTGCGCGTCTCTTCTGTCAGTTGATTCTCAGAGGCGCGAGGGTAATAGCCTTCTGCAGGATCAGGAAAATGTGCGAGGTACTACTACAAGCCGTAAGGAATGAGTTTCAGACCATCGATAGACCAGAAGTTGGAAAACTTGTCATGGGTTACCGGGGCGGCTACAGTCCGCAAGACCGGCGGAAAATTGAGAAAGAGATGTTCGAGGGCCATCTGATGGGCATCGTCGCTACGAACGCCCTCGAGCTGGGTGTCGATATTGGCTCTCTCGATGCTGTAATCACTCTTGGCTTCCCTTACTCCATCTCCAACCTGCGCCAACAGAGCGGTCGAGCTGGACGTCGAAACAAGGATTCTTTGTCTGTGTTGGTTGGCGATAGGTTTCCGGCCGCCCAATACTACATGCAAAATCCAGACGAACTGTTCACAAAACCCAACTGCGAGCTACAAATTGATCTTTCCAACGAGCTGATTCTCGAAGGACATGTTCAATGTGCAGCGTTCGAGATGCCGATCCGGCCGGACGAGGATCATGTCTATTTCGGAGAGCAACTGCAAGAGATTGCGGCCACGAGACTCGTGAAAGACAGCTTTGGGTTCTACCATTGTCACGAGAGATTTCGACCTCAGCCTTCCCGATGCGTGCCCATTCGTGATACAGAGGACCAGCATTTTGCTGTCATTGACGCAACAAACGCACGCAATGTCGTCCTGGAGGAAGTGGAGGCTTCTCGTGCCTTCTTCACGATCTACGAAGGAGGCATCTTTCTGCACCAGGGCCAGACATACCTCGTCAAGGAATTGAACACTGATCAGCGGTTCGCTCGCGTTGCCAAGGTCCGCGTCGATTGGAACACAATGCAGCGCGATTACACCGATATTGACCCCATTGAAACCGAAGTGATGCGGCATATCAATCAGACCTCCGCCTCCCGCGCATTCTATGGCTCGGTGCAGATCCATGCAGTCGTGTATGGCTTCTTTAAAATTGACAAACGCGGCCGTGTGCTGGATGCCGTGGCGGTGGACAATCCGCCGATCGACATCTTCACTAAAGGCATGTGGCTCGATGTGCCCAAACGCGCGCTAGAGATCCTCGAATCAAGACGCCTCAACATCGCTGCCGCTATTCACGCAGCCGAACACGCTGTCCTCTCCCTGCTCCCCACCTTCGTCATCTCCTCGCCCGGCGACGTGAAGACGGAGTGCAAAGTCGCAAAGAAGGAACTCGGCAGAAACCTCAAGGTCGCAAACGAGATGCGCAATCAACAAATCAAAGAGAATATCAGGAAACTCCAGCCCCCGGCCCGGCAACGACCGGCGCGTCTCACTTTCTACGACGCAAAGGGCGGCTCGTGCGGCTCTGGGATTGCAGGCAAAGCGTTCGAATTCGTCGACGTCCTGCTTCGCCGCGCGGTGGCGCGCATCGAAGCGTGCCAGTGCGTGACGCCGCAGGGATGTATGGAGTGTGTTTGCGACGAGAAATGCAGGGAAATGAATTCCGTAATGAGCAAGGCGGGGGCCGGTGTCGTGCTGCGGTGTCTGCTTGGTTGGGATGTTGACATCGATGCCCTGCCTTGGGGTGAAGATGTGGAGGGCGAGGATGGACTAAGGGAACTGGCAGGGGGACTGGAGACCGTCATCCCGGCGACTGAGGTGCCGTTGCGTCGTCAGTCTCGTAACGATCTGTGATTACACTTCCAGCGTTCAGAGCGAGAAGTATTGCCGGTATCGTAGTGCTGAATATCACCCAGCATTGTTATCAGTGGGTTCTATCTCCTGTGTATATGATAGAGAACGTGGACTAGAGTCATAACTCTTTCTCCGTCTCTTCTTGGATTGCCTCTGTTCTCTCTCAGGAATAGAACGGTTACTGTTGCAGCACTCAAACTCAGGCAGACCCCCTCACGCCTGCTGCAGGAAATGGAAGGGATTTGTAATGGTGGCTGACAGGTCCGCATGGAGTTCCTTGTCCAAGTAGATGCATGCCAGCGTGGACGCCATTCTGCCAGCCCAAACCGCTCTGTAGGTTATTATCCGACCGTAAGGTAGCCGTAGACTCCAACGAAGCAAAATAAAAAAATAAAAACAAAAACATACAACAGCCGGGATTCGCTGGTGGTCACCCACCCAACTACTAACCGGCCGGCGTGTGGCTTAAGTACGGCTGAGCGGACGGGAAGCCCTGTTTTCCACACCCTGTGGTCGTATGTGCTAGATCCTAGACAAATTCAAATTGTATCGAACAGCTTCGACGGATTTGAGAGATGAGGTAGTCATCGCTCAAACAAAGAGCGTCTATTGTTATCGCGCAGCGATCATAGCGGAGTTTGTATACAAATGCATCGATATGAGGTATGGGGTGAAATGCCGTTTGTATGAAATCCCAGCAACGCCCACGTAACGACTCCAGGTATAAACGGATTTTTGCGTTTTATGCTTGCCTGCCAATGCTCCGGTCGTTAATGTAGACAATTCGAAGAGCAGAAAAATTCAGGGAAAAAGTAAGAGGGTATATAGGTTGAACAGACACATGAAAGCAACCAAGAATAGGTGACAAAACGAGGAAGGGTGTCACATCGTACTACCTACATAGATATCCTAGAGGAGTTGAAGGCTTATGAGCTGGACGCGGTTATAGACGAGGAGTGGATCATTATCAGGGGACAAAGAAGTGCATCAGTGAGTGGCATTTCTATGGTACCATGACTTATTATGACAGCTGCGTGCCTTTGGCTAACTGATGACTGGACAACCATGTAGCTCCCTCTCTCACTTTCTTCCCTACTATGTTCCCCCTCCACACGAACAAAACCCCTCTCGAATTTTGAGCGTGCAGAGCAAAACAAGATCTGATATTTCAGAAGACATTATTATTTCTCTACCCACCAAACATAACCCTCGTGATGGCCACTAAAGACGACTTGCCCCAACCTAGGGATGAATCCCCGGGCATACCATCTGTCGCGCCGGATGCCCTGTGCATAGATGGCCATCTATTCCGCATTAACTACGATGTTCCAGCGGAGATTACCGAGCAAATGTGGGAATTATACGACCGTGATGCAAAGTATGAAGAGATCCCGGAGCACCTGAAAGCATACGAAACCGAAAAGGAAGACACGGACGTGGAAGAGGCACGGCTGTTGGAGGAATATAGACGTAAGAAAAAATCCTCAAAACAGAAGAGATCGACCAAGGGATGAAGGACTAAAGCTGCATTCCACCTCCTCCCGTTGTTTGGAAGGTAGTATTATTATCGGATGTGCTGAGTGCGACACCTAGTCAAGCCTAATATGATCTCATTCCGATCCTTGGATATCAACATATTGTTGTCGTGCGTCAGATAGGCAGATATTTGCAATAGTTTAGGACGGATTCTCTTGCTCGTCTATTTCAAGCTCTCTAGGACTCACTGGCGGGTCAAGGTACCAGAATCAGTTTTTAATCCTTCTTAATGATATCCATACATTAAGGGTAGTGATACAGCGACACCCTCTTGGATACGCGACACCTCCTTACCCAATCAGGTAAGGAAAAGTCATGTGATCACCGCGAATTCGACACAGAACTCAGGCTCTCAGCAGAGGATAAAAACAATTTGATTTGCTATACTAATTTAATAATAGTATTCGCGATTTAATTCCTTCTAATTAGATACTCTATTTGCACTAGATTTCCTGTAATCAGAGGCCTCTATTAAGAATTAGATGATGCTTTCATGCTGGCGGTGATGCTATTAACTCTGTATAGTGGCCCCTACCCACGCAGCTACGCACGCCTACCTCAGCCATAGCGATGCCCACGGCCATATCTATAGCCCGCATCTTCCTCGTTAAAGGATCGATATCTGGGCTCTTATAATCTTAAAGATAAGAATTAAAGTCACCATTAGAGGCGATTATAAACCTAGGATTATTAATACTGTAGGAAAATAACATCACTAAGTCAATCGCAATGCCCTACTACTAATCCTAAGCCCTGAGCCTAAGTGGCCCCGGGAGAATCCACTTTTGCGGTGATTACATGACTTTTCCGTACCTAATTGGGTAAGGTGGGTGTGTGTCGCTGTATCACTACCCTACATTAAATACAGATTTGTTGACATTACCAGCACCTATACTAAACTATAAGGCCACTGATTTAGGAGAGAATGGCTCCTTAAGAATTGACTGCATTCAATATGTGGCTTAAGTAGGGCTGAGCGGACGAAAAGCCCTGTTTTCCACACCATGTGGTCGTATGTGCTAGATCATACACAGATTCAGCTTGTATCGAACAGCTTTGGCGGACTTGAGAGATGAGGTAGAACAGATTTTAGAGCGTCTATTGTTATCGCGCAGCGATCATAGCGCTGTTTGTATGCAGATGCACGGACATGATATACGGGGTGAAATGCCGTTTGTATGAAATCCCAGCCAACGCATGTAACGACTCCAGGTATAAACGGGTATTTGCGCTTTATGCTTGCCTCCCAATGCCTCGGTCGTTAATATTAGACAATTCGATAAAGCAGGGAAGATATTAATAAAAAGAAAATTTAAAAAAAAATAAAAAAAAAGGATGAGGGTATATAGGTTGAGCAGACACATGAGAGCAACCAAGAATAGGTGACAAAACGAGGAAGGGTGTCACATCGTGATGTTGGTCGAGTAACACAGTGGAAGATCGATTGAAGGGGTCTCTCAGAAGAAGCATATAAAAGGGGCATGCAGGTTAAGCTCATGCGTATCCAGCGCAGCAGCTCGAAGGTGATGCGTAACAGAGGCGTAAGATCCTGACCCGATCATTCAGAAGCACTAAGACGGGTTTGGCAAGAGTCTAGGATCTCTTTTCTTCATAACGTATCGTGAAGCTCGATTAAGTAAAAGGCATATGCACGGACTCAGTTGCCATATCATCATCGAGAAGCTTCCAAACCAGCAGAAGACGGGCTAGTCTCGCTTTCGGTGTCATCCACGCTAAGTTTCCAGAAGATGGTTCTCATGTCGCGTACGTTTTCCCGAAAGTCGTCTCGTGCATGTGTTGTCCTTTCTTCAGTCATTGAGCGAACCTCGCGGATGATCTCGGGGTATCCTTCCTCATTTGGTAGCCACCAGTGGTTGATCTCGGGGAATTGCCAAAGGGCTGCCATGCCTGCACGGAATTTGGGGGGCGTGATGTAGCTGTAAAACGATGTCTTTTAGCTATTGCTGGCCAGGAACATATTGCACACCGCGCAATGAGGTCAAAAATGCAAAGAAGAAGGGAGCAAGAATACTCACCCGTTCTGCTCCATCAGCGCGAATTTTCTTCGGGCCCACATCATATGTTTATGATCCTTTGGCAGAAACATGCTCGCCATTCCAATGCTGTGCTTGAATGCAAACATATAACCGTTCTCCTTGTCGGGCCACCTTTCGATTGTCTCCATTATTCGGCCCTGCTCCAGAGCCAAATGTTCCAGTTCTGCCATTGATGATTGGCGAACGGACAATAAGGATTGATACTTGAACATTGCTTTTGTTGACAGGTAGTCGATCCAAGCAAAATTAACCTCCCATAAGGGGCCGACATGCAGGCCGCCAGGAACGTAAGGGTCGACGAAGTCATCTTCCGTCAACGGTTTTTGATTTGGAAAGTTTGTGACTGTGTACTCTGGATCTGTGAGTGTTTCCAGGATGCTCTTCATCTTCCCCAACAGTTGGTCGAGCTGCTCGTTTTGACCAATGAACTCCTCGATCGGGATCATTCCGCGGGAGAGTTTTGCATACAGAGAGGCCATCTCTAGTCCGAATCGGCGATTTATGGACCCAGCCAGTGCGAGCTGCTTCTCCTGGTCTTCCGGGAAATTGGCGGCTTGTTCGGCGTCATATTCTTCTCTAGCGATGTACCACTCACGGCCCAGAATCGCCTCGTTTCCGGCCAATATTCCCGCGACTAGGTCGAATCGAGCGTACCAAAGGAAGATGTTCGCATGGAGTTCGTTGTATTTGACGGATTCCGGAGTCAGGAGTTCGCGCATCAACGAATGAGCGGCCTGATGATGGTCGATGAGATTCACCCAGTCGCCTATGAATTCCTATACTCAGTGAGCATTGGGACGAATCAAGTTTGAAGTGTGATACTAGATAGCAAGCGGGACAGTTCAAATTCATACCTCGAAAGTTGTAAGCGCAAGAACGGTAATGAGCGTTGCTTCAGAATGTGGCTCTCCCGATGCCAAAGATTTCCGCAACAACTTCAAGGCTTTGTCGTAATACTGAAGAAATGTATAGAGTTTCCCCGTGCCGCTATGTACGCAATGGTGGTAAGCAGAGAAACCGACGATCGCATAGAGAAGCGGCTCGTATTGCAGGGCAAATTTGATGATGCTGTGATGAACAAACTGATCGGAAGACGGCTTCATAAAATAATGACGATACGTCATGTACTCTTGATGAAAAGTAAGGTAAGATCGCAAATCTTCTGGCAGATGTGAGAAGTTGACGGTGCCAAGAGGTTCATGACTGGACAGGCCGACACTGGCCGACCGCGCACTCATCGATTCAAATCTAGAGGAAACCTCAGTGGAGGGTGAACTGCCTTCTGTGTTGGAGGACGTCGTTTCTGGGGCTGTTTGCTTCGTCCTGCGCTTCCTCAGAGACTGCATGCTTTGCTTTGTGGTCGGGCTCGGGTTGACACGGGCTGACAGTGACGTTGTGGAGGGGGACAGGAGAGTTGCCGAGTCAACGCTGCCTTCGTCCACCTCTTCCTCGTCCAGAATCGGCTCCAGCGCGTGAAACTCATCCGGTCCAACATGGCCCGAAGAGTCACTCCCTTGCGACGGCGGGCGTTGGGCTCTGGCCTTGGCTCCAAAGCGCGACGCTGCCTTGGATGAAGTGCCAGTCGCAGTGGGCGACGGATAGACACAGTCGCGATTACCTTTCCGACATCTCTCACAGATGGGGCGGGCCTCGTCGCATTTGATGCGACGGGAGCGGCAGGTGAAGCAACCGCTCCTGGTGCGCTTGTGCTTTTTCTGATCGGAGACAGGCTGCAACAAAGACGGCTGGTGATGTTGTTTGGGCGAAGTAGAGGAATATGGCGTTGCCGCGGCAGGAATGCCAGCCTGCGGGGGYTGTGGGGGCAGATTGTGCCAGAAAGCTACACTGTCGGGATACTGGCTAGCACCGAAGATAGAATAAGCAGGGATCTGATTTGGGTCCTGGAAATGCATGTTGCCCGGAAAATAGCCATTCAAGGGGGTTTGGGCCGCGTCGAATGAATGCGCCATGGTTGTGGCCAGCCGAATTGCATCCAGGGAGCAACGCGGATTACAGTCCAGGATGCCGGCATAAGCTATGGGTAGATTAGCTGGCAGGTTGAGGCAGCCTCTGAAGGTGAACCCAGGCGAAAAGCACCATCCAGAAGGGAGAAGAGCTTTGGAAAGAGACTAAGGGAGGAGGTTGAATGCAGAGGCTGAAGAAAAAAGGAAGAGGGTTCAAGGCCGTGCCGCAGTGCGATTAGATGAAATTAACAACAAAGGCGCTCTGTCGATGGAATAGTGGACCTAGTAGATTTTGGAGGGGGGAATGAAAAATGCAGGGTGAGAGGATTGATGGATGGTTGGAATGGACGTGATGATGGATGGTTGACGGATGAGCCGCGATGGCGGTGGTGGTGGAAATTGGGAGTTGGTAGGCCAGTACTCCGTACAGTAGCAACTAGCAACTGTACCTACCTATGAGGGTTAGGTAGTACGGCCAGGGTATTGGAAGGAGAGTCATTCGATGGCAGGGTTGTCAAATCGAGCTAATGATGAGGAAATAATATCGAATGAACAAGAAGGAAGGAAGACTATGCTTTCAAGTCTATTGAAGATATTGATAATAATGTTAATAATTGGGCCGGATGCCCGTGGCTTCTTGATCCATGGGCCAAGCCCCAACTTATTTACCTACCTAGATACTACCTAGACTAGACTATATGCTTGATGGCGACGGGAATACTCAAACTTACTTTGGGGCTATCAATCTTAGTCTCTTAGTTTCTTCCTGCCTGGACCACCAGGATAGCGCAATGAAATCAAGCATGAGAGTCAGAATTTCTTATTCAAGGCACAAATGGGGATCCAGTAGGACCCCCTCGTTTTTAGTTTTTGCTGATCTCCAGTTTCAAACTATCAGTGCATGCATATAATCGTGATGAGACAGACCCAATCTACCAGAATGATCTCTAGACTATCAGTAGAACTACCTCTAATGATGGTCTAAGGATCGTTGACTGCCCATACATAACTACCTACCTTACTCGGCAGTTCGTAATTAATCATAAGGTCCGGAATTGGCAATCCCAGCAGACCAAGCACCAAGCGGATATTTGATGTTGAGAAAACCGGTACACTAAAGGACTAGTAGTGAACAATTCGGGGACAGGAAGTTAAGTGGCCGCCGATGGCTCTCAGACTCCCTGGGTCATCCCTGGTCATCCCTTACATTATTATTTTATGATTGTATCTGTCATTTTTGTTACTGAGAGTCAATAATCTATTAAAGTACTTTAATAATATCTTTATATTTTTATTATCAAAAATATCGGGTGATTGACAGCAAGTGTCATGGTTCTGTCTAATCTGTCTATTATTTATAAAAGATGAGCTATGCCAGATCTTTGTTCGTCGTTCCCAAGACATTTTTCAATACTTTGCAAAGGCCTAAGGTAGGTAGTCTACAGAGTAGAGCTCGACGATCTGTGCTCCCACAGTCCCACTCCGTCTTCTCAGGAGTAGCCTTTTGACCGGGAAAAATACTCCGTGGACCCAGATCAATTAGCTAAAACAGACGGACTGGTCGACGCATCCGCTGGTGAGCAAGATCATTTTTCTTGCTTTCGTTACCTCCACTTTCCATAAGGATGTAGGATGTGCCTAGAGGACCGGTACTTTAGTTATAGTCTCCTCAGTCTTTTACGCAGCTCCTTGTCTTACTGAGAATGACAACTATTGCGTCAACGGTAGACACGCGACTCTAGTCCAGCCAGCTCATGAATMATCATCCAATCTGGCCTCATAGCCATGGCCCATGGGTCGTGGCCCGCAGAAAGAGATCCGTCGGCGTCATTTGAAAGACCGATGTGTGGGGCTCTAACTTAATTAGGCAACCCCTGAGAACCGGGTATTTCAATCGGAGTACCTAATAGACTACGAAGTACGACGTTCAAGGCTCAAGAGACTACTCCGGGCAGAGAGGCAAGATGACCTATCTTCCGCATTTTTATCCTGTGAAGCTGCAATGAGCCCGCGGGAGCTGACAGATTCCATGCGTCAGCCATCATAGCGTCTTTTGAGTGTACCATGATTCAGATTGTCGGATCCCTTAGTTCTTAATTGTCAGTGTTATTATTTATTATTCTCATCTGGATGCTACCCTCCGGTTACCTAATCAGTATTTACCGGTGACTCTGTAAGCTACTCCGTGCGTACCCGCCAGTATGCCACTATGTGAACCCCAGCTACCTACATAGGTAGGTAAGTACCTAATTCCCTGCATGCGAATGCCAACTGCAACGTGCAGCGATGGTATTTCGACGGTCACAGCGTCCCTATTTTCCCTCCTGCACCTTCATCCTAGCACACATCACGAGAGAGGCCGACACAGCAGAATTATGTTTTCTGCCTTTGGTACAGAGCACTTAAAAGCTATGTCCAACGGAGTGCTCCGTACTCCGAACCGTATGAACTCTCTTGAGGTTCTGACACCTTTTGCATCATCCACGTGCAGAATCGATGAGCCACTACTACCAGACGGCCCAGAAGGCTACCAGGCTACCAGCTCCCGTCGGCAAATCTGAAACCAGTCCATTGAGCAACGTCCACTCCTGCCCTAGTGTAACTCCGTACGCAGTGCCGAACGTTCGTCCGAGGTGGAGCGCTAGGTCCGGGAATGGGTGGAGGCTGTCTCGAACAGACCACCAACCGATACAGGTAGGTAGCAGCAACTACGGAGTACTACTCCGTACGGAGTAGTACGGAGTAAATTGGTGGATTTGTGAAGCGTGCTACACTGCTGCGAAGCAATCAAGCATGGAGTGTGGAATCGTCACATGTAATCTCCGAGAGAGCCACTGCAATCACACACTGCTTAACCTAGGAACTTTACTTCTCACCTCATGTCGTATCGTCGTATTCCTTAGCTGCTGATTCGTTCTAAGCCGCTACTTTCTGACAGGATTTCATCAGTAAGGTTATTCGGCAGTGCGGCACCGGCGGATGTTCCTGATCGGCGGTCTGGATTGACAGCTCTGCCGGTATTCATGTCTATTCCTCTGTTCTGCCGTAAGAAAATGAGCTATCATGGAAGAGACAACACTGGTACATGCAGGGGCATGGCTGATCCACAGAACGCCAGGTATTACTGCGAAACTGTAGCAATTCTTGCCATGATTTGACGCTCACACTAGCATTGCTGCAGGCTATTTATTTGTAGTGCTGAGAGGCAGTGGCGATCAACCCTTTGGATTTCCGCAATGTATACCTAAATGGTATGCCTGACACAAGGCCCAAGTGCCCTGGCCTACGAGTCTATCAGACTCTGATAACCATTAACCAACCCCAACAAAGCCACAGAGCACACAGTGTGGAGATATTAGGCTTGAGCCATTCGCAGTCCATACCTTCGTACCAGAAATGCATATCGTACGGCCCTGTATTTAATGAGCACTGCTGAAAGCAGAGCCAAGCTTCTGGAACAATCCAATTCGGAAATGAAGGCTGGCATAATGGCATTCAATCAGCACAGGACTGGATCTTGATTAGTCCGTATCTGATGGCAATATCGAACTCGGAGATAGGCTAAAGTTTCGGATAGCTTTGATGCTGAGTGGATCGCAAAACCTCATTTTATCCTTTTCACTGAGGCTCAGATCCAGATTAGCCGGAACTCGTCTTGGAGTCTTGAGTCTCTGGCCGATTTGAACGTCGCCAGATAGCCAGTAGTCTGTCCTTCATCAAATACTCCTACTGACCAGGACCATATGCTGGTGAGTCGTTTGAATTACAGCCTGCACTTGTAGACTTGCAGTAGCCACTCCTGTGCTAGTTGTGTGGCATTCGTTAACCATCTAGGCCATTAAGGGATAATGCTATGCTGGTCGCTGGGGCCTAGTGTAAACACCAGCTCATAATAATCCCTGTATGCTGTACCCTGTCACCCCGTACCTTGAAACGGTGACTCAAGGATCAACATTAGCACCATGGGCGCAGGGGTGATGGACTCGATCCAGTCCAACTGCTGTAACTCCAAGAGCGCACAGACATCGCAGTGGCAAATAGTCGCATATCCAATTCTAATGGTCGTCTGCCAGACGTCAATCCACAGTTAACACTACGGAATACAGATGGCATTCTTGTAGATCATAGCACCAGAGGCTTGGTTGTCCATAACTTTGACAACCGCCATCCCGTGTTCGTCCCCTGAAGTGGCTTATTTGAGTAATCCAGTGTTGGCATTGTCGAGTGGCACCTTACTAGGACGAAATGATGAAAGTGCCGTAAAAAAGCGGAAGATCACAAACTTGGTGACCAACTCTAGCCCATAATTCTGTACGAGAAATTCAGGTGCAACCAACGGAGCCTCACTTAGGAATATCCTCAAAAGGCTAAGCTGTTTATTCTATGTCATGGTATCTCAATGCTTTTCACACGTGTATCTCTAAAACGTCAGCAAGAAATTAAACTCGGCAAGGGAACAAACAAGACGCGGACAAAGTGGCCATACCATTATTTTCAAGGTATCTCTCAAACGTATTCGTGCAAAGGTATCATGGTATCATAGCCGTCACCCCATATTTATACATCAATCTATTTCCTCCAGAAGCCCTTACAATCCATGATCCAGACCGTCAAATCTCATTGCCGGGCCCTGATTTCGTTGATAGCGAGCTGGACTCCTTCAATTACCACACCCCACTCAATCTCATGAACCTTCTGCTCAAAGGCGTGTAAATCCTCGTCAACGCCCTTCACAAAGGGAATCTCACGGACGAGAATCGGCTTGCCCATGTCAACCTCCGATATCACATTATGAATCATGACGCCCGTTTTATCGATCTTGCCCTCTAGCCAGGCGGCATGAGCACGTTCAATCGCATTCTGACAGAAACAAAGTCAGTCAAACAGACTCTTCAGCAAGAAAACAAGGAAAGAGAGAACGTAAAAGCCAACTCACAGCCCCATTAAAAGCCCCAGGCAAAGCAGGATGAAGGTTAATTATCTTCAACTGCTTAGCCTCTAGTGGCTCTAGGAATTTCGGCGATAGCACATGCATGAACCCCAAACAAGCGACCAGGTCTGGCGAGTCAGCAAGCACCAGCCGAGCCAGTTCGGCATCGTACTCCTCCCGTGCTGCCAGTACACCCTCCGGCGTCGCAGGATGCTGCTTCTTGTATTTCACAAGGTTGTGGTACTGAGTCGGAATGCCTGCTCGCTTTGCCCGTTCGAGTCCGTATGCATCCTTGCGATTGGAAATGACTCGTACGATCTTGGCATGAATTTGACCTTCACTGACCTTATCGATTACCGCCTGTAAATTCGACCCATTGCCGGAAATGAGGACAGTGAGACGGATTGGAGTCTCCATCTCGTTCGGGGAGTGTATATGCTGTATGAAGGATGTACTGGGGAATCTAGAGCTGACACAATGGTTTAGTCTTCCACGGCACTAATGAATAAAACTGCTGCACCCAGATACAAAGGATAGAAAGACGAATTGACGTATCAACAGGCGCAAAACGTCCTTGATCGATCTCGACGCCAGAGACTCCTCCGACCTTTTTCTTTTGCTGATAAGGAGAGCGGGGTTGAAAATGATCGTGGGCTGACTCAGCGGGGATGCGGGGCAGCGCTTTTGTGCCTGAGGTCACATCATTGCAGGCACTCCCCCTTACATTACTTGAACTTGAAGTGCAGCTGATATAGCGCCTAAATGTAGCTAGAACAAGATAGTGTACTTGATATTCGGACTTCTGCAGCGATGCATCACACGACCATCGCATCAATATCTGAAAGCAGAGCCTGAAGGGGGAATAATGCGACAACGCTATGACCGAATGGAAGATAGACAACAAAAGGAATATGCAACGAAAGGTATGAAGACTTCGATCATGCCAAGTGATAAAAGCCCATTGCCCATCTAAATCTAGTAAAACACAATAGGAATTGATCAGAGCATCAAGAGCCAATCGATAAACAGCGCGATGGGGGTAATCGTGAGAAATACCAGAAAGGGCTAAAAAGAGTAAGATTTCACATCCAGCCATCATACTATAAGCCACGCGCCTTATGCCAACTGTGGGATAATTCGGATGTTTGAAAGAAGTCGAGAAACATAAAAGTCCAACGAAGGAGAAAGTGACGACGAGTCATCGGCTTTAATTAGCGTACGTAAAGGTTCGAGCAAAACCAGCGAGACAGGCTTAAGCAGCCGCTGCATTTTGCGTGTCAGGCACTGGTGTGTTGTTCGTCGTCTCGATCACACCCTGGCCTCTACAGAGAGGGCAAGAATTTCGACCCGTGGTCAACCACTATGACACAAAATGTTAGTCTAAACATTTTCCATAGACAAGCGCATTCGCAGACGGGCGACAAACCTGATCAATGCAATCACGATGAAAGACGTGCTTGCACTTTGTCAATTGCCTGAGCTCTTCTGTGGCTTCGTAGTCACTGAGACAAATCAGACAACGTTCGCCATCGGGGATTTGAATCGCGCCAGCGCCATCCAAAGCCTCTGCGACGAGCGATCCCGCAAGCTCTACAAGTCGATATAGTCCTCCAGCAAGGTTGATGTCATCCTGGGTGGCAACCGGTGGCTTCGCGGGTCCAAGAAGCGACGAAAGGAGAATCATGTCTTCGTAGGTGGGGTTCTATAAATTGTATTAGCTTCGAGGGTCGGGATATGCCAAGAGAAGAACTTACATCAGTAAAGAGACTAGGTGTTGCAAACGCAGGATGGTTCTCAGAAAGGTTGGTTCCCACGACATAAATCAGCCAGCTTCTGCCCGCAGGAGCGGGAGTGTCAGGTTCCACAACACCATTGCGTCGAACAGCGCCAGAGCCTAGCTCACGATGACGAGCATACTCAGAATCACTGCGCCGCCGTTGATGTGACGCCTGGAACGGGATCCTCTCTGCAGTGGATTCAGGCGCAGGCTCAACTGACGGTTGCATCAACGGATGCTCATCAACTTGAGGCAAGGGGTTTGAAGGCAATGCCGAGGCAGAGGACAGTCTCCGATTGGGTGTTGATGCGCCTGAAGATACCGCAGATAAGCCTGGCTCAGCAGGTGTCGATGGAGGCGGATGGGGACCCGGAGGACTCTCCGAGAGAGTCGAAGGAAGTGACGGGAACGGAACGCGAGTTCCAGCGTCAGAAAATCTTCGCGCGCTTCGAAGGCCCTGGGGTGAGGTTTCAATGTTCGTCGACAAAGGGCTAGGGGCGCCGAGTTGTTGTCGATTAGGTACGAATCGTGCCCGATTATCAGCAAGAGGAACTGCGGGACCGTTGTCCTGACCTCGTGGTGGGTTCCCTGGCGCTAGGAATGGTAGCCGCAACAATGCGTCCAAGCCTGGCCCAGCATTCGACTGTTGATCGCCAAACGGCCCACTGCCTGTGGGAACAGATCGAACGCCCACAACTACCAAGGTGACGGTGCGGCCCTCGTTATCCCCGGCGGGATTGTCAACGTCCATGCCATCGCCACGACTACCGGCAGATTCTGGTTCCGTAGCCGAGTGATTTGAAGAAACCGTAGGACTTGGATTGTCTGAGTTGGCAAATCTGAAAACTCGTAGAAAATTAACGGGCTGGGGAGGGCTGTTCTCTCCTGAAGCACTTGCGTTGTCACTCGAGGCTGTCTGTGCTGATGTGGCATGCTGTAGACTTTGGATAAAGTTTTCCAGCGACCCCTCTAGGCCATCATTGCCCAAAGACTGGATGTTGGGCAGTACTGGGCCCGCCGCGCCAGAGAGCTGGGCAGCAATCGCAGCCGCAGCCAATTGTAGAACCCGTGAAAGAGGTGTGTGCTCGTCACGCCGAAGAACTCTGGAGGATCTTGCACGTAAAGGTCCCGGTAATTGACGTGAAGCTGAAGCGTTTTGACTGGACTGTGAGAAGAGTGGCGGCATTGGCAGATTGCCACCCGCTGCAGGTTCTACAGAATCGAGTTCATGAGCGTGATCGAAATCCATGCTAGTGTCCATGGCACTCAGTGGTGGCAGACGAATGTCGGGATGGTCACGCAGGCCCTCCCGCAAATGTGGGTGCTCTGTCATCTCAGAATCTGCGCTGGACGGGTGGCCAAACATCTGCGTGATGGGCGCCGATAATGAATTGCGAACTCGGTTCAGTCGGGCACTGCGACGCCAGGATCCTCTGGCAGGTTGTGGGGCTTGTTCCGATGATGAGTCTAAKTATGCCGAACCGGTGGGCATATCAGGAGTCAAGGACGGATCACTGCGTGGAATAAAATAGGGTACTCTGATCAATCGCCGCCTGGGGATGCTTCTCGAGCTGAGCGAGCTGAAAGGACTGAAGCGACTGCTGCTATGAGACTCCGATCTCGGGACTGATCTTGCAACAATTCCATGTCTGTGAGCCTGTCCCTCTGCCGGGGTCTCCTCTTCACTATTAAGAAGGCCACGAATAACTGAGTTCGGTAGAATCCGGGAACCTAATCTCGACATTGTAGACTGACGTCGAGCGGCCATTCGCGCAAGTATCGCAGAGCGATACTCTTGCTGATCCGGTTCGTGCCGAGAACCATCTTCCTCGTGTATACTCTCCATCCTTGTCAACTGAGGCTGCTCAGCAGTTGTACCCGTTCCGTGCCATGTCGCCGGTTCTGGATTGTCTTGAGCTGAATGAGAAGTATGGAAGATGCCGCCATTTGGTTCTGCTCCTGATGGGAGCGCGATGTCCTCGGCCTGATCAGAGTTCGGCCTGTGATTATTCATGTCTTCATTGAGATTTAGTCGGTCACGGTCGGTGCGGAGGAAGGTGGATTGATCTGAGGGAGTCGTGTGGCGTTGATTCCTTTGTGTAGAAGAGGTCTGTCCCATAGTCACGAAGATGTGAGAATGGGAAGTGGCGATGATTGTTTATAAACTGTCGATGGCCATGGAAGGATGGATGACTAAAGAACCCAACATTAGTCAGATGGACAACAGCAGTGATATGCAATCCATACCATGCAACATTTGAAGCTGAAAAGCACTGATTCTTGTAAGAAGGGATTCTGAAGGTTTCAAAAAGCTTTGTTGTCACCAGGGGTATATGCCAGAGGACAATTTCTCCGACGTGTCAGCAGTCCAAGGCTGCAGCCAGACGTCGGACACCAAAGGGAGCAACGATCGAGGACAAGGAGCGTATCTAGACAGTAACAGAACTGAAGAGCGACCGTGGCAAGATTCGAACTAGAATAGCTGAGCGACGAGACAGTACGGAATATTATTGATGCCCGTACTGTTGAATACTGTTGATGGTGATAGACGATGATGATGATGATGGGGGGCCGCCGACCATAGAAAGGAATCAGAAGATGATAGGCAGTCGACCTCTTTACGGAGTAGTTTTTGGACTCTTTAAGCTATGAGCCAGAGTCCAGCCACTAACTACTCTCGTCCCAATTTAGTTGGTTGCTGTCTAGTAAGGTAGTAGTTAGTAGTGACCGTTGTTGATCTCGTCGTTCGTCATCCAACGGTCCAAGCCTCCAACAGTCCAGCAGCGCTTGGGTGTGGTTTCGGCGGGATTCCAATTTGGTCGATTAGTCAAGTCGGCTTGCAGCAGGTGATTCGCCTGTTTCCGATTTAGGCCTTGCGGGGCCTGAGGCTCACCACTCACAGTCATTAGCCAGTGCTCCATATTCAAGATACCTGCAAAGATGGTGGTATTTTGAGTGGGTGTTATTGTTGAAGCAAAGTATAATACAAGCATAATGGTTCATTACTATTTCCAGGATCATTGCTTTAGTGTGCTTGATGTTTTGAAGCTTTCAACTGCTCCAGTGGGAGGATAATAGGTCCTCCGCCTGAGAAAGACAGCCTTTGATCTGAGCAGAAAAAAAGACGTTACCGGAAGAGGGGGAAAAGCACCACTTTCTTGCCCTCATACGGGGGGCCCATCTGGGACCATCTCCCGTGGTTTACCGCTGGTTACTACTAGTTCGGGGATCAGCATTTATTATGGCGTTCGTTCCTTCGGCATCTGCGTTCTCTTTGCCTCTTCCATCATGGCAGCAACCCGCCAGCGTGCGGGTAGCTCACTACGAGTCCAGAAAGCGCAAGAAACATTCTGATGACTGGGGCGACGACAACGGAGATGGCGAAGGAGAGACGACGGATGCTGCGTCAGAAATAGCGCCTACTGCTCCGTCGCTAACATTGTCTCCTGAAGAAGCCCATCAATATCGCGTTGCTGGCCTTTCATTCGACCAAGAATTACCTGGAGGCCTCTTCCCTCATGCCCCTGCCAAGAGCGAGTCTACTAAGGAGAACCGTGGCGATCTCTTGAAAAGTCTCTCTTCCTTGTCTCCCCCAATATATCCTCCACAGTCCAGTGCCTACCAGGGCAACCTTCGACTGCAACATTTGGCCGTCATCACTTCCATTCTGCACCGTTGTCTTCTGCAAGGTGACTACATCCGTGCTGGAAGAGCCTGGGGACTGATACTCCGCGAAGAATTTGCCGGTTCTCCTATCGATGTTCGCACTGACGGCAGATGGGGCATTGGCGCTGAGATCCTGCTTCGACATGGCCGTCAGGTAGCCGAAAATGCACCAGGGGTTCAGCCGAATGGTGACGGACACGAAAGCGGAGAAGGGCATGTTTCGAAGCCATACTTTACACGGAAGGGGTTTGAAGATGCTAAGCACTATTACGAGAGGCTTATTGTACAACACCCGTACCGCAAATCCGCTCCCGACGCTATCAGTTCCTTACATTTTTACCCGGCAATGTTTGGTCTGTGGGTATATGTTACCCAAGAGGAGAGTAATTTAGCCAGAGAAGATATTCACAGTCGCCATGAAGACTCGCCCGGAGAATTTTCGGAAGATGAAGAATTAGGGCAGGCATTCGACGGCGAATCCGGAGCTAGGCAGAGAAGGCATCACCTTATTACGAGCGTACGAGCGCGGGAACTGGAAGAAGCGCAGCAAATTGCGGCCAGGATGGATGAGATACTTGCCTCTCCCCCGTACTCGGATTCTCCTGAGCTGTTGGAGCTCAGGGGTATGGTATCGCTTTGGATTGGAGATCTCTTTGTGTCATGTGTCCCACACCAAGAGGAGGATGAATATGACATTGACGATCGCAGTTCTGTGAAAGAGGACGTCGAGGATCTACATGCCTCTATTCAAGCCAGACGTGAACGACGGCTTGCAATGGAAAAAAGACAGTCGGAAATTCTCAAATCAAGAGAATTTTTTGAAAAAGCAAGGCAACGTGGCAGGAGTGTTGCCTCCACATTGGAACACTTTCACATTGATGACAATGCTTCGATGGCTTCATCCGGCATGGGGTTCTAGAAGATCTCAACCTATTTACGCTTGGTTCATGAATGTGAATGTGTAGTATGTAAATAGATTAACAATTGTACATTACAGATAAACCTCATAAACACGCAACATACGCTCAAGATTCTCCACCTACCTTAGCAACCTTGAAATCATTCTCCTCAATGCCGTCATCCAGCTGCTTATCGGCACGTGACTTCGCGAGTATCAGTCTGGCGCGCCGTGGAAATAACGCGTTTGGAATCTCCTCTTGGGCAGCCAGAATTTGAACATTGACGCTGAGGACTGACAACCTCACCGCTTTCTAGGCAGTGACTGGCATATTTCACAGCAATCTACTGCGGTGGACAGTCAGAGAGGCTAAGATTGAATGTCTACCTTCCGAAGCCTTTGATCCGAGTAACCATGGGGGTGGGAGACTATGTCCATTCCAAGGAGGCTGGTCCACCTCGTCAATCCAAGGGGGATGCACCGAATCAGTCCCGGCAGCTCTTAGCGCAGCAGGCGAGAGTCGAAGTTCCCCAGACTCAACTCGTTGCTCCCGTGCCTGTGGGGATAAATGGAAGAGCACAGTTGGATGCATACGGGGGCGTGACATTTCCAGTGTCGTCGCAGGCAGCGCATGAAAGTGGCGTGCACCGGGATATGTTCGACACGGATGTTGAGGGGATTGACGAATCAACTGTTGCTGGAACAAGCGTGGTCGATATTGAAGAAATTCAGCGACCGCAACAGCAGCAACATCACTTGCCGCCAGTTCAGAGCGCGCAGCATCAGGAGCCAGAAGGGAAGACTCTCCATCAATTCCGTCATGGACGTCGTCCATATTCGTCGAACTGGTATGAGAACTTGGGAGACAAAGCCATGAAGACTGCGGGCTTTGAATCAGATGATGCCGATGCCGACGATGATGCCAGCCAGATGACGTCCGTCGCGGGCGACGACAAAACTGAAGATAACAATGACTGGTACATGTCTCATGGACACCGTCCTGCCGAGGAACCTCTAAGCAAACGTCTAGAAGGCTTCTGGAGTGCCAGTAAACGAAAACATACTAAACCCGGCCACCAGACTCAGGGGGAATCGGCAAAGTTCACTGCATTTTCATCAGCAAACGCAGGCAGGAGAATTGTCCTCCCTCGCAGTATGACAGCAACTCCGAGGACTCGTTTTAGCCCGCCAAAGCCGTCCCTCCTTGACAAGCTGGACATCTCTCCAACTCGGCGCACCACCGGCCCAAGAGCACAACCTCCGCGAAAAGACAGCATTACCCGATTCCACTCCCGTGGACCGGAGGGAGACACAGAGCTATTCGCAAATGATCATGGAAAGGGGGACAGCGAACCATCCTTAACTGCATTCGACATTACCCATTTCGACGATCTCGACGACGACGAGACGATCCGCGATCCTTTCTCCAGACGTGCTTCGGTCAAGCGCATAAGCTCAGATATGACCCAGACGAAGAAGCGAAGCCTAGAAGCAGACTATCCTCCTGAAGTACTGTCCAAGAAGACTTTAGAAGAACTCCAGGCTGAGCCGTTTGATTTTGATCCTGCCACTGCGCGACCCACTGCTACCTTGAATCCATCACTGGATCCACCTGGATCCACAGAAGAAGACAGAGTCTCTCTGCTCATGAAACTATCTAAAGAGGAACGCCAAACATACCTCTCGAATTTAACCATCGATGAATGGGAAGAGTGCGGCGACGAGTTGCTTGAGCAATTCTCCAAGCTGCTCTCGGAAATGAAGGAACTGCGCCGTGCTCGACGAAGGACGGCTGCTATGTTCGAAGCGGAAATAAAGAGAAGACATGATGCTGTTAGGGAGGAAAGTTCCGATTTAGACAAGAAGCTGAATGAAATGAAGACAGGCGGTTCAGAGATGTTGCGCGGTCGTACCCCGTGATGCATATATCCTCACAGGTCAACGCAGCAATGCAACCAACCCTGGTGGTTGAAAAGAGCTCCTTAACGAGGCCCGCTGCTACTGCCTTACTCTTATTTCTCTTTATTTTACCTAATTTGGCGTCTCTGAGAAGGGCCATGTTATGTTACCATATGCTGCTGTAAGCAGCCATGAAGATGTCATGCTGGAGATCACGTCGTGTGTTTCCCATCATCTTACGAAATCTGCTCTCGACTGAATCCTGGGATTCGAATTTCATACTGTGGAAGGCATATGTTAATAGCATCATTATACCCTTGTGCAATTGAATCATTGACTGAAGAATATGTTTTCCTATCAGCACTTCGAATTGCGTCAAAATTGTACTCGCTAACTCCCGATAATGCTACCATCCTTGAAATGACTCTAGGGCTTATGTTTCCACCGCCCGAAAATGAACGCCATCTGCAGTCTATCATATAGTGTCATGGACGCCGTGAGTTCAAACAAACAATGCGACAAAGACATAGGAATGCCGAAAGTGGTAAAGGAACAAGGATGTGTCAATTCGAGTCCGGAGCCTGCCTGGATAACGCTACTGCGAGTCGTTTGTAGTCTTCGAGTAACACGGATACGTCGCCTATTGTCAGTTCGTTGGCATGTTGGGTTTGGAGAAATCTTTGAATAGGCGGATCGATCTTAGACGGGTTCCCGCTGTTATTTCTGGTGATTTCTCGAGAAGTAGGTGAAGCCTTCGTCTTCTCTGAAGGAGAAAGAGTGCTGAAACTTCCTGCCGAGTCCGGCGTGCTGCGCCCAAAGTTCCGTATCATCCCTGGAATATGATTAAGCGGATTGATGCTGTTTCCGAAGTTTCTCATTGACTCGAGTGGGGTTGTAGGCAAAGGGTTCGTTTGAGAGGTAACTGACGAAGGCTCATCCTTTAGCGAACCCGCGGTGGCAGTGGTCATTTTCGAGCTGGCCTGCGTCCTCACACTGTCCGTGCTACGATCACGGGGGGTCCTGTGTCCACTGACTATACCAATGAAGGTATCTTCCGCCCTTGAGCCGATTCGCCGCAGTGGGGGTCGATCCGGAGTCGCTAAAGAGTCCCCCACTGCATTATCCCGAGAGACACCCTTATCAAGGGAAGGGGGAGAAGTGACCAGACGACGAGCTTCTGCTAATGTCTTCGGCAAGATTGGATTGCCACCGTCTTTGGCGGATAGTTGGCTGGATTGCAGCTCCTTGAGACGGCCGAACAGAAAGTTGAAGCTGCTGTCTAGCGATGCGCTGATATTCTTCAGCCCTTGATCGGCAGTGTTGCGAACAGCATCGTTGGCGGCACCAAGCACTTTCGACGGAGGCTGGAACAAATTGTTAAGACGAGGTTGTTGAGGTGTCGCGGGTGGCTGTTGCTTAAGTAGTCTTTCGGCAGCATCTTCCTTGACAGCTGATTTGGAGATCTCCGGAGAAGCGTTCGCTTTTGTAACAGTAGACACGGAGGCCTTGCTCATCCGCTGAGAGGTGTTAAGGCTGTCAGAAGTAAGTGTCGTCTCATTGTTGAGTTGAACCTTTCCTTCCTGCGTTTCATCCGCACGTAGCTCCGATAATTCTACATTTTCCAGGAAGCTGATTGCCGCTTCTAGGTTTGTTAAGCAGTAAGCCGTCTCACCATCGATTTTATTGGACGACCGGAACCGTTGTATGAAGAGAAGATTACTAATGATGTTAATACCTTCCGGTGGGCAGGTGATAAGCGTATAGATCAAGGTGGGTAGGATCTCATCAGCCGAGGAGGACGAAGGAAGAAGCTTTGTCAATGCATCAACGATAGCCTTGTGTGCGCCAGCCAGATGCTGAAGCTTCCCCAGAGGATATTTCGCTTCGTTCATCCTTGCCAGACATTCACGGGCGACCGAGAGGCACTGATCCGCCTCTTTCTGATCCTCTTCATTGATAGTGGCCATGTCGATGTCAATCCCGAGGTCCTTCAGATTTATTCCAACCAAGAGTAGCGCTGCCGTTTTTGAACGCAACTTCTCATCCCGGACTTCATCCAATGTGCTCTTATGCCTCCAGATTTTGTCATAGACACATTCACAAGCTCTTCGCTCGATAGCTTCTTCCAGAGCAGCGCCTTTAGAGGCGAGTGACTTTCGAGCCTTCCGCCGTTCAGCGACCTCTGAAGCTGTCAACATCTGCCGGCTGGATGAAACAAGGCCTGAATCTTTGCTTGCTGATTTAGACTGGCCGAACCCCCGAGAAGCACGGGGCGGGGGAGGGTTAGGAGAAGGATCACGGTTTATTCGAGACGCGAGGGCTGATATATGAGTAGCAATGTGCGTTTCAGCCCGAACATAAAAGTCTTGAAAGCGCTGAGATATCTTCTCGATGGTCGGCGGAGAGGAGTGTACCTTGGCGCCTAACGAGTTAACGAACCTAGCAAAAAAGGGAGTTAGCGCTTGAGCAACTTGTGATTAGAGTAGTCTGACCTACCGGTCAGTTAGGCTCATTAGTTCAATTGGTAGCTCTTCGGGTTGATCCTGCAGGCCCCGAGACAGGACAGAGACCTCTTCGCCCGGTTGCCCATCATCTCCTGCTTCCGATTCCGAAGAACCCCTCTTCTCAAACAAGTCTGGACCATTCTCTTGCTCATCGTCCTCTATTGACAATGGAAGGGGGAGTGCGGTCGAGTCCACCAACTCTGGAATTGCTACCGATTGAACAGTCTTCGCCCTGGTGCGGGCAAAGGAGCTCAATTCCGGGTTGTCCATTCGCGGAAATGATCGAGCAGTATGGAGACGAGGCTTCGCAGCGTCATTGACCGAAGAATGCGACGACATGGCTCGTCAAGCATGCACCCTGCGCTTTTTATTATTGAAAGCTATTATTTCCCTCGCAGTCCAGCTGACTGGCTCACGCAGATCGGGTAATGTCAGCGTTTCTGCGACAAAATGGATCAGCGGGTAATCGGGACAGATTCGAGATACAGCACAAGAACAAACAAAGAACTGAGATAAGGAGCAAGGCAGCAAATTAACTGAGGTATCAACTAGTACCAACAGACATATTAAAAAGCCAATAAAACTCGCAACAGTAACAGAGATGTAGTAGAGTGTATGGTATGTAGCTTAAGAGAGGCAGATGATTACCACTTTGGGGAGTCCCCACAACTGGTGTCACGCGTTTCCAATCTATCACGTGCGCTATCATTTGGCTATCTCCAATGTGCGTCACTGCCCGGGCGATAAGTCATCGCCGCTGATAGGCATCTGAACGACGGTGATCGCTTCCCCGAGTCATCCTCAAGGTTCCCCGGGATATCCATTTTCATCATGAAAAGCTGCCGGAAAAGGACTAAACGACACGTTCTACAAGATATGAGTATATCGGGTCTTCTCTTATCTGTTGCCCTGCTTCCGAGCGTCGTCTCCGCTCACGATCATGTATACGTCGACCCTTCATCGTCCGGTTCACCCTTCCTTGGCCCCCAGGTCCCTCTAACAGGCCCTCCAGCCCTTACGGGTACTCATGAGTTTGTAGGTTTCATACCTGATATTTTTAGACGCAAACACTAATTATTCTGGTCAATAGACGCTTCGCCACATATATCACCGAGGTACTCATGACCAACCCGATCTTCACAGGAGGCTCGATATCAAACCACATACACGCCTTTGGGCTGTCTCAGACGATGGCCTTGAGAAGGAGCTTGTCACATTTGATACTCCCCTCGTTGCTTCCTCAAGCCCTCTTACCATCCAGCGCCTTGCGGACCGCCGGCTTTCGGTCATTGAAGGATACCTGGCGGCTGCGAGGTCCAGCGGGGAGGCGGCCACTCTGTCGCCGTCGGAGTGGGTGATGGATACATTGGCTGGTCCAAATGTCACAGATAAAGAAAGCATTCTCACATTTGCAAAGATGACGGCGAATGACTATATCGAGGAACCTGGCACTGAGGACTGGCACTATATTCACGGCCGTTTTAACTACTCATCAAGCTTTGGGTGGCAGTCGGACGGACTGAGGGGCCACATATATGCAGATAAATCGAACAGCACTATCGTCATATCCTTGAAAGGGACTTCCCCGGCCCTGTTCGATGGTGCCGGCACAACCACAAACGATAAAATCAACGATAATCTGTTCTTCAGCTGTTGCTGTGGGCAGGGAGGCTCGTACCTCTGGCGACAGGTCTGTGACTGTCAACAATCAGCATTTACAGCCAACTTGACTTGTATCATTGAGGCCATGAACGACGAAAATAGGTATTACAGGGCCGCCATCGACCTCTACTCGAATGTGACAGACATATATCCAGACGCAAATGTCTGGTTGACAGGCCATTCTCTGGGTGGTGCGATGTCCAGTCTCCTCGGCCTTACATTTGGACTACCCGTCGTAACATTCGAGGCTGTCCCTGAAGCCCTGCCTGCGGCTCGCTTGGGTCTACCAAGTCCGCCGGGTCACGATCCCAGGCTTCCTCAGTCGCGACAGTACACTGGAGCTTATCATTTTGGACACACGGCCGACCCAGTATTTATGGGAACGTGCAACGGCGTTGGTTCTATTTGCACATGGGGTGGGTATGCGATGGAGTCCGCATGCCATACCGGCCAAATGTGCGTTTACGATACCGTTGAAGATAAGGGATGGCGTGTTGCACTTTCAACCCACCGTATCAGAGCCGTGATCTCTGACGTCCTTGAGGCATACGAAGACCTCCCTCCTTGCGCACCCGAGGAGGAATGCTATGATTGCGAGTTGTGGAAGTTCTTCAAAAGCAATGGGTCTGAAAGCACGACAACTTCGACTACTACCACTACCACCGCTCCTACCACCACCAGGACGTCGACATGCAAGACACCCGGTTGGTGGGGCTGTTTGGACGAAAGCACGACCACTACGACCACAACCTCTACGTCTACGACCACGACCACGTCGACTTCAACTTGTAAAACTCCAGGGTGGTTCGGCTGCAAAGACCCTACCACCACGACAGAGGCAAGTCCCGCCCCATCTGTTACAACCACCATAGCCACCCCGACTACATACCCAACTTCATCTACCTCCACATGCGAAGACCCTGGATGGTTCGGTTGTCGCGACCCCACCAGCACGACAGCGTCCATCACATCACCTTCCACAACATCCACCTGCAATGATCCGGGTTTCTTCTGGGGTTGCTATGACGATTCGACAACGACAACTCACCCCATCACGTCCGGGCCGAGTGCACCATACTCGACCCCCTCCCCTACGAACAAACACACATGTACTTCCAGTATCTTCTTCGGCTTGATTTGTGTTGGGTCGACCGGCACCGAACTGCGCTAGAGATTCCACCCACCATCAACGCTCAATAAGGGTGTGGTTGCGAATCATCTCATCTGACCCACCATTTGCATAAACTTCATGTTCATGATGACCGTATACGAGCGACTGATTTTGACTTTATTTCTTTGGTTCTCCTTTGGCGCGGTGTCTTGAAGGCGTTCTGCATTAGTGATTCACCTGATCATTTGTTTTCTGGGACTGGTCATGCTTACTGGTTACATTGATCTTGTCGTTAGTGTGAGCTGCTTTTGTCTTGGAAACTATCCCACCGATGTAGAGAGATTGGAATTTAGATACGCATTTGTTATTGGGATACACTCGGATTAATTCGTCAGTAGATGTGGTTTCAACCTATGAGTCTTGAATAGAGTTTCATATGCAAATCCAATTGAAGATATTCCTTTCCATTTTCTCTAAGCCCGATGGAGCTTCCAGAAGACTTCGCATAGATTCGAATGCAGCTGTAAAACAGCTATCTACCAGTTCTAAGTGGTGGTTGATACTAAGATGAGGCACACCATGAACTAGACGGTGATGTTTGTGGTTCCTAGTAGCAGTAACCAGGTAACATGTCTCAAGGGCTTGATCTTAAATAGAGGTGCGCGCTATTTGGTCTGACAACAAAATTGTATGTCTATTGCCTATACCGAATCGGTGACGGTAGTAGCAAACGCGCTCGTGTGGTGGTTCAGCAAGAACCGTACCTTGACCGGGCCGCCAAAGTCTAAGACCAGTGAATAGAGCCGATTCGACTTCGAGTACAGAGACCAGCTACTGACAGTGTCCAGACTACCCGAGGTATTACGCGATAAAAAGGAACATTCACGAGGCGGCTATCCAGTGTGCTTACAGCTCGGTCGACCGATTCCGTACTTGAAGCCCGGCAAGAGGTCTTGGATTGAGATTTATATCAGCCAAATACGCCAGAAGGTTGTGGCCCGGCCCTGGTGAGAGACTGATTGGTTGACGACATTGTCGAGACCCTTGTAATTGACTTTGCTTGCCATGTGGCGTCGCTATCAAACGCCGTGGTTGGTAGGCCAGGGATTGATTACAGTGATCATTATTGGTCCGAAGCAGAGGACATAATGACTTACGGGAATGTAATCGATCGGCTTAGACAACGTTTAATCCCGGTCTGATATTGGAGAGGCCGATGGAGACTGGCGAGATCAAGTTCGACGTGAGCTAGACGTCAGACAGGCCTCAATATGCAGTTTATGTAGATCAATCCGATTGACGGTTTTGTGGGGTGCATTAGCATGCCCCTTACATTTGGTTTTGGCCGAAAATTAGAGGAAGACAATCCGTCATCTGCAGATGTTGAACGTGGTTGATATTCAGCGGCCATACAAAAGTCACTACGGATTCCGGTTTCCGACGCTCAGAAACCGAGATGCCTCGTTTTCTGCGCTCTGAAGCGCGTTTCTTGGGATTTTTTGGTGCTGGACATTCACATGACAGGTTGAAGAAAGCATATTCGCAATCTCGAAACTTAATTCGGTCGATGATGCATGGGAAAGGCGCTCATGGTGATTCTGAAGGCGTATTCCTGACCTCCGCAGATCGACTGTCAGAATGCGGGACATGTCGAGTGACTAAATCTTTTCCCCACGCTAGATCTGTGGAGTCTGGGGTTGTAAATAATCTAATTTATGGTTTTAGATTCTAGCCAGAAGATGAGAATATGAAAGACCTCATTGTTTTCACTGTTCTTGGTGACTGATGCGATGTGAAGGTGATGGCACTCGGGCGGGAGAAGGGGTCTTATGGCATCAATGACCACCGCAAATTCTGCGCCTATAGAAAAGAGACTTGGAGAAACAAGCTTAGAGCCCTAAGCCAGTCTCAGAGCCAGAAGCCAGACGCCTCCAGCCATACAGCCGTAGCTAATGCAATCCTATTCTCCTAGAAGCTTCGAGCGAATCCCATCACCACGCTCAACTACACTAACCGGCTAAGGTAGTAGCCGCTCCAGAAACAAAATTCAAAATCTTCTCCTTCCGTCTCTGTTCCCCGCAAAAAAGAAAAAAGACCTCGTGTCGTGACCCGGCCAATATCCATTGATCCAATCCTTTGGCCTGAAATTCTATTTGCTTCTAGTCCTAACTGAGAGAAAAAAACAGAAGTTCCCGGACTTTTTTCTGTTTCTCTAGAGGTACTAGCTACTAATCACAAGATCACGATTCTACCCTCCATACCCTCAAACCGGTTCCTGAGCTTGAGGTGGGGGTCGTCCTGTCGTTCTCCTCCGAGGCCTTAAATTCAGCGATCGTCCCTGGTTTTTCTCGCTTCTCTATTCTCTATTCTCCAGTTCCAATACATGTTACCTTGACACGGAACATTCATTTTCTGGTCATTCTAGACCGTGTGGTCCCATTGTACAAATCATCCACAACTACCTTCTACACCCCTCGGTTCGGCTGAAGGTCATCAATTGCTCTCGCATGATGGCTTCCGAAAAGGCGCAGGATGCCATTGGGCCAGCGGGGGCGTACGATCCTCG